CTGAGAGGAATCTTGCTTGTAAATCGCCGTTAGATGCTTTTGAGCCCGGGAATGATCACCAGAGAATGGTTTCGTTGAAGGGCGAAGAAAAAAGCGGTCGGTGAGGTTGGAATATAGTGAGAGGTGTAATAGTGTAAGCAGGAAATGCTTAGCAGACCGCACGTGACGTCTAATCGAAAGTGTATCTAGCGCGCCTTGCGTTAAAACAAAAATTGTGTTAATTTAAACAAACGCACAGGTCAGGATAAGGGCCCACACATTGGTAGTCAGGTAAGTAGATGTAGTTTTTGTACCTGTGTTAGACTTGTCAATAGTAATAGGAGGTGGGAAGACGTATAATGGTATTTTTCCCGGTAATTTTAGTAGTCCTGGTATTTCCTGTGGAATAACTAGTCGTACGGTTAAGAGTGTCATAAGTCTTAGTAATATTAGCAGAAGTACCTACTTGCTGTGTAGAATTTATAGTGGCCACTATATTGACGGCACTAGTTGATGTGGTATTAGAAGTAGTAATATTGGTTAAATTATATTTGCTGTTACTAGAAGTAGCCGTACCGGCAATATTACTAGTCCTGTCAGTATGTTCACTAGTGTAAGTGTAATAGTGTAAGAATAATTGGGAAAATTGAGAGGTAGTAATAGTTCCAGTAGTATTGACACAAGTTCTAATTCTGGTATTTCGCATGGTATAAGTAGTTGCATTAGCAGTGGGCATTCGAGTAAAGTTAGCATTAGTCATAGAAATAGCAGTATATGAATTCTTATTCTTATCCCGGAATTCTGTATTTTTTTCAAATTTGAGCACTAGGATGTATTATTCGCAATAGTTTACTACATAAATAAATAATATATTTATGGCCCAGGGGCCCTTTCATTACAAACTAACTGCTGTCGTAAAAAATGCATAGTTGGTAATCACAGCTGCGCGTAAGCAACCGTATAACGACAGGAAGAAGTAGTATGTTACGCGTAGTAATATAGTAAGTCAGATCCGATTGACAACGAACTCTCTTATAAAATCATAGTCACTAGGTCGTAAAAAACTCCTACATCGGTGGCACAGTTCAGCGAGCCACCATTTTCCAAAAACATTTAGGAGAAAAAACGGCCTAAATAGATAGTTAGATTGAGATGGTATGATATGATGCAGTTAGATGGAATCCTGGCGTTGAGGGTTCGGAACGATTATTGTCGTGGGAAAAATGATGTAACATATTGGCGGTGAGATAAGAGGAGCTCGTCGGGGACAACGGGGTCGAAATGAGGAGGGACGGTAGAAGTCAAGGCAAATCACCGAGATGCGACCAACCAGACTGCAGAGTCCACCGACAAGTTGGCGAAAACGCAAGAACACGCCATGATCACCAATAGTGACCTCGAAGACCACCGTCAGGGTTGCAAAAAGGAAAGGAGTTGGCATCATGTGGAAATGATGATTGACTCCACAGAGGAGAATGTAAACATATTTAGAGAGAACTTTACTATCTTGGGAAGAGACTCCAATGCCAGGAGGATCCTTTTCGAAGTCTAACAGTTGCGTGTCTGGGAAACAAACAACCAGTAAGGACTTTATTTCATCCAAATTTAAATGTTTACTATTTCATCCTTGAAAGTCGATAATGTAGACGACAACCTAAGTATGAATGGAAGATTACTACAGATGAAAGCATATTTGGCGAAAAAAACGAGAACGGTTAGATGGGGAGCTAAGGGGGGGGTGAAATTATCATGGAGGATTTACGACTGGTTTAAGTTCGGTCTACCGGCTTAAGCGTTTTAATTTGTGGGAGATTTGGGCTATTATTAACGAGAAACAGGGAGCATATACCGGCGTCGAGTCTTCTTAGCCACATATATTTAATGGTCACTAACTGACATCTATCTGTATAAGAAATACTGGATCCAGAAAGAAAAAAATAATTTTCAAGCGAAAACTCTCTAAACCTTTTCAATCTTGCCGGGGTCATACGCACTCATAAGACCAAAAATGGGGCAACATTATTCTAGGATGGGTAGAAAAAGCAGGCGGTACAGTTTTTATTTCCGGAAGGAAGAAATAAAGAGATATAAAACCACATATCTTTGCGGCCCTTGTAGAAACAGCAATGGCAAAAGCAGTATTTGTGTAGTAGGTGTACTCGTAGTGGTACTAGCATTGATAGTATTCGTGGTATTATTATTAATATTGGTAGTTGCAGCAGTAGTAGTAATTTAACAGAAGTATGTGTGGTATTCATGGTACTATTAGAAAAATTTAGCAAAAGAAGTACTACGAGGATATAGCCTAGAGTGGTAATTGTACTGGAATCAGTAGACATGTTAGTACTAGTCGTCGTAGTAAAAGTAGTAGGAGCAGAAGTATAGAATTTGTAGTTTAGTGGAAATAATTGAAGACGTAATCATAGTAGTCGTGTCAGTAGAAGCGTTAGCAGTAGAAATATTGTGTGCGTAGTTGTGTTAGTAATGTTAGTGATGTTGCTAGAAGTAGCAGAAGCGGTATTTACAGTAATGTTAGTAATGCTGATATTAGCAGTCGTGGTAGTATAGGTTTTAGTATGTGTGTTGGTTGCAGTAATTTTAGAAATATTAGCAGTGATAGGATGGTTTTTTTCGTGATACTGGTACTGGTAGTGTTAGTAACACTTGTATTTAGAATGAAACAAATATAAGCAGTAGCATGAGCTGTATTAATAGCAGCCTATGTACTTAATGGCCGTAGTTGGGTAGTACGTTCAGTGGTTATGTAACAGGCCTCTCTTGAATACCTCGGTTAAGTGACTCATCCAGCTGGTGTATTAGAGTCCTGAGTTTGGCCGCAGCTGTGCGGCCTCACGCACATTGTGTGTGAACGGACCGGTGCCATGACGGGAAGTAAGAGCTCTCATTTGCCACGACCTAATCGAGTCAAACTGCCCACGGGCTGTTTCGACAGCGTTATATGAAATTGTTGTGGCGAACTTCACGTTAAAAGTCTGCCCGTTAGCCAGTCTTCTCGTTACCCCGAACCAAGTGTTGGTTACGAATGGATGATGGGTTTTTAGGGAGAGCTGTGTATGAAATATGAGGACTCAGACTTCCGCGAGTAAGCGACTGTTGAGCGCACCATGAGTGCCACCAAGACACGAACTGCTGACATCTGGCACACCAACTGCCTCAGAACGTGCCAAAGAACATGCTAGCGGCAACTCTGAACAATCATCAAGTAGGTTCTCTTAACAACGTTGTCATCATTTTTGTGGTTAGGTTACAATGAGTCAATTCGTTAGGGGGGTTAATATGAGAAACATAATCTTGGCGGCTGCTGCGGAACACTTAAACTTGTTAGGGTCAGCCTTAACAATGTAGACAGCCCTGACGAGCAGCTCCCGTGCCATGGCACTGGTCCGCTCATACGCAGTGCATGTGGTGCCGCGCACCTTTGGCCAAGCTCAGGACTCGAACACATCAGCTAGATGAGTCACAAAGCCGAATTACTCAATGCAGGCCTGTTCCATAACCACTAACAATACCACCCAACTACTACAATTAAGTATATATGCTGCTATTAATACAGCTCATGCTACTGCTGGGGAAAACATACGCCAGATATCAACAACCCAAACACTTTTCAGAATTTAAGAAACTGCGAAATACAGGGTGTCCCAAAAAAATGTAAACACATTTTGAGCAATTGTAACCTCGATGTTAACTATAATTTTACTATTCCAAAAATGTAAAACTATTTATAAGTATCATTTAATAGTTTTTTCACTGCATGTTCGCAAACTGACGTTCATTTAATCCAGCCACAGCTGAAAACGCGAAGCAATGGAATCACGCACACCATAAAACAAATCCATTCGTATTTAGGCGCATTTATGTTCAATGTCTTCTCTCTTTCTCAATTATTTAAAATACAGTAAAAATGCAGTAGAAAAACAATAAAATGATACTTCTAAATACTTTTAGATTTTTGAAATAATAAAATTATAGTAAACATCAAGGTTACAATTGTTCAAAGTGTGTATACATTTTTTTGGGACACCCTGTATATGTCAAAACTACTACGAAGAGAACGATTGGTCTTTGAGACGGAACTTGCCAGTGGGAATAGCTAAAAACTCAAAAAAGATTATTTTCATACATGAATAAGGCAAAACGCAATCTAGATCCCATCCTTTGTCTGAAAGATAACCAGGGAAATAAGTTCACCGATATTTTTTTCTATTATTTTCGGGATTTTGGTTCACCTAGCACTCTGGTGGACTTTCGTTGTTAGCTATTGGATTCGCTTT